TGAAGGCATTTTGAGCAAAAAAAAAAATCCTTCTGCCTGTAGGGGCCGGGGAGATGGCTCAGTGGAATAAGCGCTTCCCTGGCAAGTGCAAGGGCCTGAGTTCAATCCCCAGTTCCGAAAAAAAAGGAAAGAAAGAAAGTTTTATTTTAAGACATTTCAGATTTTGGACTTTGTAAGTAGGAGTGCTCAATCTGTATGTGTAGTAAAAAAAAGTTAATTTGCAATCTAAGCAGATAATGTACTTGCATGCTTTATTGGGGCTTCCTGTCTACCCAAGTTTTTTGTTTTATGTCTGTTTAATCTTATTTTTAGGTATTTTTTTCAAAAAAGTTACTTAAAATATTTTTCTCCCTCTCACTTTTGGCTTGCACAAGACTGATCATAACATCAGTGCTTCTTTCATTCAGTACTCTAAAGCACAGCAAGAACTATACTAAGAAAATTTTCTCAGTATTGTCAGTGTTTCTCTAAAGTAAGAATACATTATTTATTGTCTTTTAACTAATAGTTTTTTTACCCTAAGAGAAGCATGTAAGTTTTACCAGTAGCTAATTAGAATTATGTCTTACTAGTTTAATAATGCTTTCTTGCTGTTAATAAAAATATCAGTAGGAATTGTTTCTAATGCTTTGAGAAATCTACTAAACTTCATAAGACTTTTAATTTACATGTCAAAATAAATTTTATTTCTCTTTTTAACATAAAGTATCTTGGACATGTTAAAATTAGAAGGAAAAATGATGAATGGCCTTCGCAATCTTGGGATTGACCAGGAAGATATGAGCAAATTTTTAAAATTAAATTCATACAATGAGAATTACATATTAGATATTCGACATTCTTCTATAGTGGTAAGTTTTCATGTTCTTATTCTAAACCCTTTAGCATATTTAAGGCTTGGCATAAAACCAAATATTGACAGACTTTAGAATAAATTTAAACATTCTCAAAGTACTCAGTGAAAAATATATAGATTCATGTTTTTTCTCCACTGCACTAAAAGACCACATTTCCTTCTCCAGTCCTCATTTTATGGACATTTGAGCTGCATCCAAGATTTAACTATGATAAATTGCACTACTATAAACATAGGTGCACATAAGTCACTGTGGTATGATGTTTTCAGTTCTTCTGGAAAAATACCCAGGAGGGGAAGAGCTGGGTTGAATGAGACCTCCAATCCTAGCTTTTTGAGGAATCTCCACACTGATTTCTGTAGTGGCTGTACCAGTCTGTACTCCCACCAACAGTGGAGAAGGGTGCCTTTTTACCCACAGCCCCTCCAGCATTTGTTATTTGTTGATTTGTTGATGATAGCCACCTTTTGGGATGAGATGGAATCTCAGTATTGTTTTAAGTTAAATTTCTCAAAATTAAATAAATTACATTTCTCGAATGACCAGTGAGGTTGAACATTTTTTCATAAATTTGCCATTTGTATTTCTTCATATGTGAAGTGTATAGTCATCTCAGATGCCCATTTTTCAATTGGGTCTTTGAATTTGGGATGCCTGATTTTTAAAAATTCTTTATATGTTCTAAATAGAAGGCCTTTGTCAGAGGGACAGTTCCCTATAATTTATGGGTTTTCTTTTTACTGTATCGGTGATTTCTTTTGAAGTGCAGAAACTTTTCAGAAAGTTGACATCCCAATTGTTGGTTCTTTGAAATATTTCCCATGCAGTTTGGTTTTTGTTCATGAACTCTCTACCTACTCCTGTGCCTTTAAGATTTCTACCTAAATTTTCCTCCAGGAGATGTAGTATTTGTTTTAATGTTTAAATCTTTGATCTATTTTGACTATAGTTTAGTGCACGGTGATAAACATGGGTCTAATTTTACCCTCCTTCAGACCCACAGTGCAAACATCGTCTTGTCTCCTTAGTGTAAGAATCTGAAAGAATAAAAGTCTGAAGGGCGAGTCCTAGGCCAGGTCCAGTGAGTGTGTGGGAGAGCTTCCTGCTACCCTGCACCAGCGAGACCAGTCCCAGCCCAGGCACACCTTGGGCCGGGCCCTCTCCCACCCACTTGGGACACCCCCCACCACTCCGCAGACCTCCCCCACCCACCCGCCGTGTAGGAATTTCTGCTTCGTTCCGGGAACCCCCAGACCCAGTCCTAGCCCAGGTACCCTGAGTGTGTGGGAGAGCTTCCTGCTACCCTGCGCAGGGGGGGGGAACAGGGGGGCACAGAGACCAGTCCCAACCCAGGCACAGCGTGGGCCGGACCCTCTACCACACCCTTGGGACACACCCCACCACTCCACAGACCTCCCCCATCCCACCCGCCGAGTAGGAATTCCTGCTGCGTTCCAGGACCCAGTCCTAGCCCAGGTCCCCTGAATGTGTGGGAGAGCTTCCTGCTACCCTGTGCCGGACGGACCCTCTCCCACCCACTTGGGACGCCTGCCACCACTCCACAGACCTCCCCCACCCCGGCCACTGAGTAGGAATTTTTGCTATACCGGGAACTCCCAGACCCAGTCCTAGCCCAGGTCCAGTGAGTGTGTGGGAGAGCATCCTCTTCCCCCTACTTCACCTTGCCCCCTCCAAGCACAGCTCAGGCCTGGAATACACGCCTGGGGTGTAACCCTGCTGTTGCAATCCCTGCAGAGAATGTAGAGGATAGATGCACCCAGCTAGTCCAGTACCAGAACATCTTGCCACAGGGGCACAACAGGTTCACCCTCAAGGGCAGCAGCAGGAATGAGCTGAGCACAGCGGTAAGACCCAAGCCAGGCACAGATAGATAAGTCCGAACTTTGTAGAGCTGCACCTGAACTTCAGTACATGCGAAGGTTATAACTACAGCAAAGATCTACAACAAAGGTCAGAAGACAGTGCTACACAAAATGACGAGAAGGAACAAAATGAACCCAAGCCCACCTGTAACAAGTGCAGCGGACACTAACACAGAACAAATTGAATATCACACAGCTGAAAGAAATGAAGCATCGGCTTCTGAAATAGAGAAACAGCTACAAAAACATATAGAGGACCTCAGATTGGAAATAAAAAAAAGAAATCCCTGAATTAATAACATCTGCAGTAAAGAATCAAATACAGAAATATATGGAGGAAACCCAGTGCCCACCCAGAACAAGTGCGGAGGACACTAGCTCATCTCAAATGCATGAATTAATAGCGTCGATAGTAAATAAGCAACAGCAGAAAGGTATAGAGGAAATCAGAGCGCAATTCTTTTCTGAAAT